CAGATGTCCAGCTTTTGACCTAGAAAATGATAAAGAAAAGCTTAAAGTAAAAACCTATAATTAGAGAGGATTTGAATGGTTTTCTTGAGCAAGTGACTAATGATGACGATTAACAAAGCTCTGGAAGTACGTACTCAAGATGTGGTGTGAGAATTACTCACAAAAAAAATGTCAAAGCTAATCACCACCACAAGCACAGCAGTGGTGCAGCTCAAYTGGGTTGAACTAAAAGCATGTGAAGTTGCCTCTTACAGCCGCTATACAGCCAATGTATGACCCCGGGGCACAGCCTTAACCAGTTTGATTTGGGAGGAGGGAACCAACTCAGCTTACATGGAATGTTATCAAATCAAATCCCCCTTCTAATTCCTTTGAACTATTCATACATACCTCTGTTAAACATACGTCTTTCCCTCTACCAAGAACGATAAACCACCACAAAGTACCGAAGAAAAACCATGACAAGATATAAGACAAGCAAAAGAGAAGAATAACCCAGTGCCACTTCAAGTCTATCGAAGTAGTGAAAACATCCGATAAATAAAGCTTGGCCTTCTTCGGTACTTTCTGGGCAATAGCTTGAAGTCGTCCCTTCTTATTTATGAGTCTTTTTTTGGGCTCGAACAAGCGTAGTTCGTCTTGCTTTGTTTCAAAACTTGGAGAAGATGGTGGAACTTCCATCAGCCTTGTGTTTTGAGATTCGTCAAGACTTTGGTCGTGATTAGTTGCATAATTGACTGGTTGAGCTGACGGTTCGATCAAATTATCTCTGGAACTCATGAAGATTGCACAATGATATAAAGGACGAAAGACAATTATTATTTTTTAGACAATCAAAGAAAACAAACTGATCGAATCGATCGTGTGTTATCTTGTGTAGCGGTCAAGCCTTCTTTGACCCAGGGATTTTCGACTCCAATACATATAGGTAACCCATTTGAGATTCTTTGCTTTCTAACTGACTCCCATTATTTCGAGTTCGCCTTTTGCTCAATCTAAGCCTTAAGTTGTGCACAAATTTATCAATTTTAATTCTATCTTTGCGAATTTGAACTGGATGGAATTGCTAAGAATAAGAAGAAGTAGAAGRAAAAAAGTTTACTCCCACTAGCACTTAGGCCCCGTCCACACGTATCCCGGGAAATTTTTGTGTCCGCAAATATTTTTTTACGGATACGGGTTGCGTCCACACGTGTCCGCAAATTTTTGTRTCCGTATCCGCAAATTTTACGAAAACGGATAAGCGTGGACGGTGAAAACGATTCGAATRCGCTGCGTGTGGACGCAAACATTTTCGTATCCGCAAAAAATAATTTGCGGATACAAAAATTTCCGGATACGTGTGGACGGGGCCTTAGTTTGYATGGCATTCTCGATGACTCTTGTTTAATTTCCATCGTTTCCCTGTATTTCACCAGTTCACCTTTTGCAAACCTTCTCACCAAAGACAAATATTCTTTTGTTTATCTACCACTTAGAGATATTTGCGATTCATTTTTACTAATTTGAAATAATTTTATCTATTATCAAGCTAATGGCAACAGACTGCATGAGACGAGAAACGAAGTAAAACGGACAGTGGAAACTGAGAAGAGAAAGGCGGAAGAGTGACAGTTAATAGTATGTTGTGACTTTTAAAGAGAAACCCCGAGGCTCTGTTTCCATATAGAAACTATATAAACGGAAAACTGAGTTCTCCGATTTTTAAATCCAGAGTTGATCTGTCTACCACAATAAACTTAGTAAGTTCAAATATTAGAGTAGACTGCATTGCTGTTTACTGAAAGTTGAATTCCGGATTCATGATCACGTCTTAAGATTACCCGGTCGGCACTGAAAGCTATTTCATTTTCTCTTCTCAACCCGTCTTTTTTCTTCATTGTTCTTTAATCCTGTTAATCAACAGCTTTCAAGCCGCAAGCTATGTTTAGGGGGTAAACAGGTAATGGCCGAGTTACGGCAAAAATGTTGATTCTAGCTGTAGTGCATTATTTCCCTTCTCATCTCTGGAGTCTCGTGAGGGTTTGTGGTTATAGGTCTCTTCCTTGATGCGAGGACTTTTTCATCCAGGGTTTTCCTCCCTCTGGTAAATAATTTGCTACCTAAATTCCAATTCGATCCGTGAATTAGCCGTGCCCTAACTTTGCATTGGTTTGTAAGTATGGTCACTCTCTTATTATCGTCCACTTTCGATAAAAACMACTTATGTTAATCCTTTTTACGCAGTTGACGTGCTCTTACATCAGTCCTCGATAAAGTACGCCATAATAGAGTTTGATTAAGTACTAAGGCGATTTGACYCGTAAACATCGAGGGATACAGTCACGAATCAAAGCTACTTTCATCTATTTTATCCTCATTAGAGTCACAATTTTATACCTCATGGAGATCTAGTCTAGAGGAGCAATCTTTAGCAAGATAATGATTATTTTCCCAAAAGTTACATAYAGTTAATTGTAAGTTAGTCCGGAGGACGCATCAAAGAAACCTGACAGTTGAAATCAATAAATCACGCRATATTTTTTAACTTTTATTCTTCTCTTGTCTTTCTTCTTTCTTTTCTGTCCATTAAGCATTAAATACTTACTTGCTAACGCAACAAATCAACTTTTTCTTTACAAATAATCAAGGAATCCCCAGTAATGGATAGTAGTTGATGACAATTTGATCCCTAAGTGTTGTTTATCTATTTTTAATTACAATGAACGTGTAGAAAAACCTAAAAAAAACTTCTCAATTAATTTAGATTAAACGTCACTAAATCCTGTAAGTAGAGATTAAATTAGGAATTTRTTATGCGTTACTTTTATCAAAATCGTGACAGAGCGAAGAGAAAGCGTAAGAATATTGAATTTCCTGTACATGCGAATGACAAGTGGATACAAAGGTTACAAAAAGGTCGATATGAAATACAAAAATTGAGTACATTTGTACTATATTTTTATTTGATTTAAACAAATAAAACGTCTGAATCATCTCCCTCATCGTAACCCGGGTTATTTATGTATCTTCTAACTGGCCCATTTGATGTAGATTTTGAAGGACTGTTCGACTTTCGATCTCTCAAATCTCGAGTCGTCGTCGTGGTTTCTCCACTAGCTGAGRCTTGAGGTATTTCGCTTTCTTCTCTCACTACATCTAGATCGTCGTCAATAAAGATTYCATCGCTGGATTCGCTTTGATTTTGGGAAGTTTGGTCTGATGTTGGATAGTGCTTTCCCTCGTAAAATTCTATAGCAGATACCCGAGGTGTGTCAACTGGGATAAATTTGTGGAATTGCGAAAAGTCTACGCGATATCTCCCGGCCTTCCAGCTTGATCTGTCCACTGTGTTTTTGAACTCAAAACCCCACATTATCTCATCACCTAAATAAGATGTCTTTGCTTGGGTCAAAAGACCTGTGGCTTCTATTGTGCCTTCCATAATTACTACCAATTCAAAATCACTTTCTGCCAGATCCGTGGGAGACATAGTATAGAATGGACTCTCTTCGTCTATGACGTGAACTATGGTCAGAGGCAAGATGAGAAAAATTGTACTGTTTCCATAAGATTGTTCATCGTTCCAATCTATACCTAGCTTGAGATCTTGCTGGTAAAAGGGAATAACCTGTCCTTCCTTTGTCGTTCGAGTTCTGAATAACTGAACACGRATGTGACAGTTCAGAATTTGACTTTTCCGAACATCACCAACTCGAAACATAAGACACATTTTGCCATCGCGTACAGCAATCATGGCTTTGTTAGAAAACATTATAGTTCCTGCTCTATTGCGGGGTCGAGAAAGCTTAGCAAAGATCAAGCCAAGTATAAATGCATTTAAAAAACAACCAAATAAAGATTGAAYATTGAGGATTATTACAGCTTCTGCACACTTGTCTGTAATTTGTCGTCCACCGTATCCTATCGTTGTCTGTGATTCAAGAGAAAATAAGAACGCAGTAGTGAATGAATTAACATTATCCACGCAGTAACTGTGACCGTAAACGAAAGACAACAAGAACCACAATGATCCAAATATAAGCCAGCTTCCCATGTATGCAGTAACGAATAGCAACATAATCCAATACCATTTAGCATCAATCATAGTTGTGAACGGGTCTGAAGCATACAAGCTTTTCTTCTGATACACGTCGGTCGCGACGACTTTCAACCCACCGTGCTTGCTTACAAGTCTGGGTTTCTTAAGTTTATACYTTGAGAGAACACGTCTTAATTTACTTCTCTTCTTTCTCTTCTCGAGCCTCCTTAAGGCTACTCCATCCTGGCTTTCATGGTCAACGGGTTCTCTAGAGGTGCTATTCACTTGGTAGTGCTCGTCTTTGTCCAATTCATAAGACGCCATACTTGTACTGCAAGATTCGGCCAGTCGAWTGTGTCTTCTGCGCTTCTCTGCAAAAGTAGAAGCAGTCCCATTAGCATGCTTTAACATATTATCTCACTTTTTATTAATCTTCAGCTACTTCGTTAGCAGCATAATTGAAGGAAAAGAAAATAATTCAACGCAATGTAACTAGGTCTTAATGTTGGGGGTGGGTCGTACTCTATCAGCGAAGAGTCCCGTGACATTCACAGTAAAATGATAGATTRGCTGACAGGATCAGGAAACTGTGTATCAGTAATCATGATAAATCATTTTTGAGGGAGGGGAGGCTTAGTAAATTGTCAATCAATATAATTTGTCTCACAGCAACGGAAACCACTAGTCAGTATTATTTCTTAAAAAATTATAAGATTCCGKGCGTTTTTTACTTTTAATTTGTCAGACTTTTCATACTCCGATTTCAGCTATAACCGATGCTATGACACCAGTTTTGTGCCACTGATTAAAAACATTTCCCTACGGCTACTCCGAAAAATCTTTTTTCCGTCATTCATACTTACCTTAGCTATTGTTTGCTATGAGTGCCGAGTACACAACAACAAAAGAACACTTACAATAAATAAATGATGCGAAGTGGCTCCTTCATCAAATCATAGTTAACTATGTTTTAGCGAAGGGAGGAAGACCGGAGAAGACCCTTTAAGCACAAGAGAGAACCAACAACTCTACTCACATACGACACTTGTTTGAAAATAATATCGAGATTTTTTCCATCATTTATTTTTGTGTTCAGTGGATATAAATCTCTTGACAATCAGGGGAAATTGGTTTTTTGGTTTGGTGTCACTGTGATATGCTGAGAAAACATATAGAGAAAGTAGAACCTTAAGTGCACGTTTTGTCACAGGAAAAGACCGAAAAACGTCTAGCTAAACAAAAATCTGAAAGATATCCTGGTACTTGTCTCAATATCTAAACATCAATCAAAGTGGTTTATACAAAAAGAAAAGATTTGACATGTGATTGGATAGCAACATAACGATTCAATAACAAAAACTAACGACTTCCAATCAAGAATGATCAAAGTTTAATTCCTGGCGTAGACAATGTCTTTTTGCTTTTTTTGTGGTAGACCAGACCTACTCTCTTTCGCCAGCTTCGGTTTTTGTGGGTTTACTCTTGTATTCCGTTTTTCTCGACGACAAAAAGGAACACCYCCAGCCGTATCATCCATTCATTAACATTGATTTGATAGTAATCATGGACTAAATATCGCTGTGCACTTCAGTATCAATCAATATATTACCCGTGGTGAAAAGAGACAACAGGTCGCAACGATGGAAAAAAATACGCCACGCGACGTGCGCGATATAATACTACCTTTATGAGGCGGGRAAGTTTATTTCCGCAAATGGATGTTAATGCCAACGCATCTTCAAGATTATCTCTGATTACAAAAGTAATCTTTGAGGTCATCTTTTCATAACAACAATGAAAAAAATTTAATTCAAAATGACTAAAAAGAATTAGTAATTCACAGGTTTTTACCAAGACACATTCGGACACACAGAGCACAGCTGGACAATCTTAGCAGTTTTAAAGCTGGTTTACTTGACTTTATAAAAAAATCGTCTTCAAATAGYCATGGCTTAGTGCGTAAAAAGTTTATGATCTAGTAATATTCTCTTYCAGATAACGTTTAAGCGGAATTTCTATATCCGTAATTTAATATTCATGGTGTTTTGTGTTTCAAATTTGTAATCTCCTTTGTACAGCGTGAGCAATAAACAATTACAGCACTGATTTGTCATAATTCTACAAAAATCAAGCGACGGAAACCCATTATCAACACACTTAATCTTTTTGGAGAATCTCAAACGGGTTTTTAAGTACGAATTTAGTACAGTTTTTACCCGCGTTTTCACTAACGAGTTTACTGCCACTTAGGTTTTATTAAAGTCGCTATTTAAATGAACAAATTAGTAGCTTCAAAGAGTAGTTTTATAAACTAGCGACGTTAATACCTTTAGTACAATGATTCCTAGACGTCGATTTGCTAAAGGTTTATCCTTCAGCAAATCTGTTTTTCTATTCGTAGCGTTAAGTCTTACGATCGATTCAAGGTAGTTAATGGTAGAATAGGACATGTTTCGCTGAAGCATGTAGCATAAAGATAGTAATAGCTTACCTTATAACTATAAAATAACTGAACTCAACGTTACGGTCCAATTATTCTCCTAACGTTTACCCCACGTTTACTCCTTAGCGGTCGTGACCATGAAGCTTAGTAAAGACATTATAATCTATRTAAAAATCACAATATTCGAGACCTCTTACTGTGTGTGTATTACATTTGATTATTATTATTAGCTGCCCGCGATATTCATGGCCAGCACAAAATRGAGTTTGTGGTGATTACGTCACTTTCGGTAGCTGTACGTATGTGGATGAAGTTGTGTGATGGTTGAGGAATTTCTCTGGAAGCACTAGTCATGTACTTTATTCGCGCCGTTGTTATGTCTGTGCTTACCAGCCCAGAGGAATTTTTCCATCAGTCCAGACGAAAACGGAAATTTACCCCAGAACAAACTTTATAAAGCACGCAATATAACGAATGATACAAATAAAAAACACAATTTCTTTTTAATTTCTGTCTTCGGGACTTATCTTCATGATGATAACTCTTTTTAAAAGCCTTAGTTGTGATCGCAAACAATCGACCTCCCACCTTCCCGATCAAAGGTATGAAAATCCTACAATATGATTGGACGGAGGCGTCTTGGATTTCCGGTTTCTTTGGATTTACCATGGCAACAAATAGTTTGGTTTTTGAAGTGAAGCCAGTCCACGAATAACTGCTCGTAAAGTTTCATATTTCTTAGACTAAATGCCTTCTGGGGGCTATGTTCTTTGGGGGGAAATCTTTAATTTTTTCTTGATAATCGTGAAATTGCATGCTAGGTTCATTACCATTCTTCTCTCTACGTCTCTCATAGCAACATTAAGCAAGCATTTATATATCTTTCGCTATAAATATTTTTACATGTTCGTTAGCTTTGATGTAGAGTTAATGGCACTATATCATAATCATATTTTTTTCAACGTGAAAWTCATAAGTTATAAACGGCGTGTGTCGGGCAAAGCTAAGGATGTGGAGATCCTGAAGAAAAGTGGGGGGCCTCATGAAGAAATAGCCGATTAATTTGCGTTTCATTTTTTCACCTGCCTGTCACTGCCTGTGTGAACGTCCTCGCGCGTTTACCTGCTTCTTATTAATTATCAGCACCTCTTATTAGCAGTTTTCTTTGCATCTTTTGTCTTGAGTTGTTTTGATCGTCGGCACCGATGTTTAGCCATTACAATAAGACCTATTGTTGATCATTTCACGCCTCTCCTCTAGCGCTATAACTATTGTTAGGCAMAAAGTTCAATTATAACATACTGTAGTTAATTAACTATGATTATAACGACTTTCAATGACTTCCAATCAGGAAGTGGATGCTCATTTATATTTAAACCAAGAGAATGAGTGTGTGAGTGAGTGATACCGTGTCAGTGCCCGATAGTAGATAGTAGGCAGCGTCGTACAGTCTCATCAGAAGTACCCAATCAAGTAATAATGTTTCTGTTTATCTCAGAAAAAGCGCTAAAAACCTCGATTATTTCTTATTTTATTCTTTTGAGTCTGATCATCGCGAATCAATTTTTCATGCTCATTGAGCTCTATCTCATCAGTATCGCAGCCGCAAACAGACCTCGCAAAACTGCAAGAGATTGAGTTGGAGCGCACGTTCAATTCACTCTTTGAATTTCAGCAGTTTGAAAATACTACTCAAAGTTAGAACATTTATAAATGTTGGTGGAAAGTTAAAATAATCACTAGTAATTTATAGCTTCATGGTCTCTCAGTTCGYACAATGCGGAAATCTTGGATAATCCTCATGATAGCCACTTTACTCTGCATGCATTAGATTATTAATACTCAACGCATTTTGATACATCTTATGTCATTACTACTGTTATACTTGAAAGATAAAGCCAGATTTGTTATGCTCAAAATCTAATGCGTTTGTTGCGGGAGCCAAGTGTGAGCTGTCTGTCTGTCCACATGTTTCCCAGTCTCTTTTGATTAGTTCTCGGTTTGATCWAGACGAAAGGTGATGAATCATCGTAATGTCAACTAACCACTAACTGCATGTTTTCCGGTATCAAATACGCCCTCAAACTTCCTCACAGGTAATATTTCTGCAGCCAGAGCAACCTAGATACCTAGTTTGAAATATCCTCTCTCAGTCCGTCCTGATATTTTTTTAATTGCGAGTTGTTATAGTATTGTTTTGGTTCTTGTATTCGTCGCGTCGTTTCCCCTGTCAAGATCTCTCACTCCGTATGACTTTAAGTTATACCTGTTAAAACTTACCTGATATTTACTATGTAATAATTCTACTCTATATTTAGCCAAYAGGCAAATTCATAGTTTATTTTGGAATTTTTTTCACCGTTGAAAAGCCCTAAGTTTTGATGCTARAGGGAAAACGTTTAGCCTTCAAACGGACATCTGTCGGGCCGTGAATGGTCAGACCCAAACAAAGATGATCTAATAAACAGGTGAAAAACTGGCGATTTGTTTATCATTCTTCGATAACAACCGCAAACTTAACCTTATGATAAAGCTATAAAGATTTTCAACAGTGTCTTTTTACGGGAACGGTAGAACTTCAGCTTGTTTTAGCGTCTGTTGAGTTTGACAAAGTTGGTGAGGAGTTCTTCAGCGTCGCGTCGATAATCTATAAGCTTTAACGACTAATATTCAGGTACTACTTTGAATAATTCCTCTTTTTTCTTATCACTTGATTATAATACTTTACAGAGAATGCATTAGCAGCTACTTATAAGCAATTGAGGTTACTATTGTAATCTAAAACAGCAAATTATTTATCATGCCGAAGACAATAAGAATTTTATCGTCAGCAGATTTATCAATTTTACTTTCGCTTTTCTAAGTTTTTTTTTTAGTTTATTTCCTGAACTAATTATTTGATGTTTCTTTTCTTGAAAATGTCCCTCCCCTCTCTCGCCAGAGAGGGGGAAATAAGTAATCTCTGCCAAGCAGGGTAGTTAAAACGTAACAACATAAAAGAGTTGTAAATTGCAAAAAAAAAAAAAAAAAAAAAAAAAAAAAAAAAAAAAAAAAACAAAACAAAACAAAAATGTTAAGAATTGTTTGTTTGTGATTCAACAAAGATTCAATTTTTTGCACAAATTCATGAATCTTAATCATGGTGGGTACTAAATAATACTCATTTCAATCAGTCAAATGAAAAATTATTTTGCCAGTCAATAACTTTTTTCCTGCTTATTTTATCTTGTATTTTTGCCTTTTCTTTATATGACAGCCACAGGCACAATCACAAGCCAAAGCAAGAAAAACAAAATCTTTTGTTCTCTTGCACTTGCATCAATTCTTTTCATAGTAAGAACATGCACTAGTCTAGAGTTGAGTCTGCTTGTGTCACTATAGTTTGAACCAAGTTTAAGAGCTTAGGTGACTAAGAAACGAATGACTGGAAAACTCTCAGAATCAATCATTTAGCCGTCCTCTCACTTGCTTGGACCTATTGCTTATATTAGCAGACAGCACACCCAACCAAGCCACATTTGCAAGCTCTTATTAAGAAAATAATTGTGAGATCACTGAGGCCATACTTGGTTGTCATTTGCAGGATAATATATTTATATGATATTTACAACCAGAAGATTAAGRTAAGGAAAAAATGTGCTAGAAGTCTTGAATACACTGACTAAGGCTGTTAGGTTGAGATCCATTTTCAAGATTGAAAGTACATTTTTCCCTCTACAGACTGACTTTAGGACAGTAAATGACTTATTTATTTTTCCCGTTTACTTTTCAACTTGCTTTGCAATTTGTTTTGTTTAATAAACAGTTTTTCTATGCAAGTGCTTCAAAAATGTCGGAATACAGGACCGTGGGTAGAAATAGAAAATACCACTTGCTCACATAGCCAATCAGAGATCATGCACTTTTTAATAGGATACTGGTCTGAAAAAATAAATTGTTAACCTGGCTGTTGAGCTTTCTATAATAATTTAATCCCTCTATTCAACATTACCCTGCCAATGAGAGTCCCTAATCTTTGCTATTGATTTTTGAATTTTTTCAGGGCTGATATCCCATTRTTAAGCAGCTCTTATGGCGCATGTTAAAATCTTTTTGTCATGCAATGATATTGACAAGAAAATAGATGTACCTAAAAATTGGAGCTATGAAGAATTCAGGAACAATGTTCATGAAGCATTTCCTCAGTTGCCAAGGGTAAGTACATGATGACTATTGGTATTGCTTGATATAAATAGTAATTTTGGGCTCTAAATAAGATTAATTAGAGTTTAGTAAGATGTCATTTTTGTGACCATTACCATAGATAGATAGATGGATAAATAGATAGCTAAATTGTTTATTAAACAACCTTGCACCAGGAATTGATGAATTATATGAGTTTAATAGTATAAATATAAATATTTTTTATTTTAAACACTTTGATTGATTGGATCTATGAAAAAGTGGATCTGTGCCTGTCATGATCAAAGTTAGTTACAATATCAGTAAATATAAGTTTACCGTACAAGTCATTCCAGTATATAATTTAAATATATGCACTGTTTAAGTTAGACAGGTGTCATCATGCAAAATATGATAATGAATTTCAAAAAAAATTTTTTCTTTTTTCTATATAGAAGCCCTTATTTAAATTATCCTTTTTTAATATGTCTCTGAACTCCTTTTATTTTAAAAGTAATTTCCTCTTTGTTTTAATCTTTAATAAGTGATTAATATGTAATGTTTTTTTTTGCCTGCTAAATTTACAAAGCTTGATGTTTCATCAAGTCTTCTCAAGGCACAATTTTTAGCCGACCATGCATATATAAATGTTAAAAACTACAGGCAGCAGACATGCTGCTTACATCCTTAGATTAAAAGCTTGATTACAGTTCTTAATTATGAGATGCCTTACTGATAAATTTAAATGTGGACAATCCCTGAGCATGAAATAATCATCTGCTTAATGACCCTCACAGCAGTATGCAAGTAGTAATTATTGGTATGAAAAATATCAGTTAAACAAGGTGTTCTGACAAAAATAATTTAAATTTTTAAAAAATTGCAAAAAAAAAAAAAAAAATGTTATGAAAAAACAAAATTTACAACTTTAAGATTTCTTTTTTTTTTTTCCATTTGTTTTATGACAGGATTTCAGTATTTCAGATAGTGATTTTATCGAACTAACAGAAGATGGTTTTAAAGAAATTAAACAGACAAGACTGGAGACTTGGTGTCTGGTGAGTCATGGTTAAGTACTAATTTAATGAATACAGTATGTAAGATATGAAATGAGAAGGGTGTAAGATTGAAAAAAAAAAAATTGATTTGCATTATAGTGTGAAAGGAGATATAAATAGTAAACCCTATTGAGAATGTCTCTTTAGATTGAATTGAAATTGGAGGGTATATTGTGTAGTTCCGTGTTTTCTATTTCTTCATTATTTATTATTTCTCTGAAATATCAAACAAGTATATTAATGTTTAAAAAAATGTTAAAAGATATAAATTTTATATTTTGGCATGTCTAGGTGCGAGCTACTAACAAAGACACCTGTATCCTTAATAAACCACATTATGAACTGCTCCGTTATGATGTACATCCTAATGCTCTTACACAAAGTGGAAATTATCATTTTAGCTGTAAGTATACTACATAAAAYGAAAGGAAAAAATGAAAATTAACAAACCAAACATTTATTTTATTGATACCCTGAAACAACGTCTGAGCTGATCTACAGGTTAGTGCAAAGCTAGCTCACAGATCAAACTCTGAAACAAACTCTGGGCTGATCTAAGTCAGGGCACAGCTAACTCACAGCTTGAACCCTGAAAAAACCTCTGGGCTGAACTAAGTCAGGGCACAGCTAACTCACAGATTGAACCCTGAAACGACCTCTGTGCTGAACTAAGTCTCAATCAGAGCACAGCTATTATTATTATTATCATCATCATCATCATCATCATCATCATTATTATTATTATTATTATTATTGAGTTTTTTAATATTTTTCTTGTTGACACAGCAAGTTATCAGGCATTCTGTGAGTTTGTGGATAACAGCATCCAAGCAACAGCAAAAAACCTTGAAAAGGACATTCCAAGAAAAATAGAACTCCATATTTTCTTAAAAGAGGTAAGGTTTAATGATGGGGATGATTGTATTATCATTATTATTATTATTATTATTATTATTATTATTATCCAATACAACCAACCCACTTACTGAGGACTATTGGTTGGGCAATACTGATAATGATGATGGTTATGATCATGATTGTGATAATGATAGTGTGTGGTGATGATGATGAATAGTAAGTAATATATACAGTATGAGTGGCAATGTTGTATCAGATATACAAACTTGAGGCGTAGCTGAGAGTTTGTATATCGGATACAACACAGACGCAAATATTGTAGATTGCTTGTCAAACGTCTGAATTAGTTCCTTTGTGTTTCACTAAAATTTTCAAAATTAAAGTGAATCTGGCCAAGAAGATCCAACTTCAAGTTTATGCAAATGAACACAATTTTGTATCAGATTTACAACCCTCTTCACGGTCGTGATTTCTGTTGTGTTTTCCTCATGAATTATTAATGAGTTTGACAAAATACCTTTGTATCACAGAAAGTCGCTGCCATCTTTGACAATGGCGAAGGAATGACATACGAAGGTTTGAAGGCTTTTGCAACATACTTCTTGTCACAAGCAGACCGAGGACTAGAGAAGCCAGAGTTGGATCAAATACCAGCATTTCTTGATAGTTTTATCTCCAAATTTGGTGTTGGAGCAACGCAGGCTGTAAGTATTTCCCGCCAAAACAGATCCTTTCGAATGAAGAATTTGTGACTTTTTCCCGCCAAAAGAAATGAGTGCACGCCCTGCGCTCTTTTTCCCGCCAAAAAGATTTTGGTGCAAGCGTAGCGTCATTTCCCGCGCTTTATCACAAATGTTCAATGTTTTGGCTTTTATTCCCGCAAAAAAAGTGAAATTGAAAGCAATTATTGCTTAGGTATTGAAGGATTTTTGAACCAATATTTCATTTTTCCTACGATATATTTTCCTTTTTTACAGGGTTTCTATCTTGGAGATAGAATAAAAGTCGTCACAAAAAGAGATGATTGTCCTTACGTAACAGAAATAACTATTTCCAAGGTATTTTGTCTTTCCTACGTTTCTTGTTACTTCAAAATGGCTACTTCAAAAAACAAAAATCTTATCCTTAAGGGAATGGCACGTGGTCTTGAAATGGGAAAACAAAAGGGCTGTTGATAATGAAGATTATGTATGGTAATGATTGTCATTATTGTTAAGTTTCTCATTCTCATTAACAAATTATTTAATAACTTTCATCAATAAATCATTAATTGAAATAATCATTTCATAATAAATTTACTATTTTTCGTTCCTTCCACTTGCAGGAAAAGCTCCATCAACGTGCCAATGATGGTAAACCAGTGTTTGAAGACTACCGCTGCATTAGAAACCCTGGTGATATGAGCACTGTTGAAACACCAGAAGAAGAAAAATGCCTCAAAGACTTGGTAATCTCTTCACACATTCAACTGTTTATCAAAATTCATTTTTAATTGCTTACCCAAAGATCTTTTACAACAGTGTCCGTCGTGGTTGGGCTAACTTTAAAAGCAAAGTCAAAAAGACACAATTCTTGCATGTTGCGTCATAGTCGCCATGTTGGTTGACTATRCGAGGCATTCCTCATTATCTTCTCTTGTTAGATCAACCAAGATGGCGGCTGTTTCATTGTTATTCATATCTCAAGGGATTTTTCGGTCACGTGTTGTTGTCGTTATTCACCTTTTTACTTGTGCATTTTAGATCCAACAAGAAATGGACCATGAACAATTTACATGTGTAGTGATCACGGGCTTGAAAGACACTCACATTGAATACATAAAAAAAGACACAGCACATCACTTGACGCGAAGTCTAGCACATGTCTATCACTTCTATCTGTGGGGTAAACAAGGCTGTTCTGGGAATATGCGACTACCTTCTCCTTCTAGATTATCAGTAAGTAGTTTATATAGGAATAGCCAAATGCATAACCAAAATGGGCTAGGAAGGTGACGCTATTCCATATGGGATTTGCCAAATTATACGTTGCGCATGCGCAGTGGTAGTAACGAATAGCGAAGGCGTTCTGGTAAGTGCGCATTCTTTCAACTTTCATTTTTTAATTAAAAATTTTTTTTTTTTTTTTTTTTTTTTTTTTTTGCGATGTGACTGTTAAATACCTTTTGCTATGAACCGATCGAAGACACGGAAAGACATTTTTTAACTCCTTGAAAAATTATTCGCATGCATCTATCATTGCAAGCTCACCGTTCGTCTCGCTTCGATGCAAAGGCACGGCTACCTTTCAAGATGGCGCAGGGAACTGTGAAGGGGACTATTCAAAGGCTTGGCTCTAAAGTCATGCAATTAATTATCCCTGTACGATAACATTTTCAGATTGATCTTGGTAGCGCCAGCACGTTTCAAGAAGCTAACATCCAAGTATTTATAGACGACGGTCGCAATTCAAGCCAGCGGAAATCCGTCCTAGACTTACGTGACGTCACCGATGACGCAGAAAGTCTATATCAGACACTTGCAAAAGAGTGGTTCCCATTCTCCCTCACTCTGAAGGTGCCTGGCCTAGCAATGCCACAAACTGTTCAGGTACGTAAAATATTGCGTGACATTTCATGGTAACGGTGTGGAGATCACGTCATTCTTACCCTATCAGTGTTTATTCGTAGCATTGTTGACGGTCACGCAACGAAACGGGGCAGGGCAACGGTGTGTAAATCTTACAGCATACTCTTTTTGTTTTTCTTAGGGCGTTCTTATGTATTATCCTCACGAAGCAGGACAGGAAACTATCCCGCGGGAAGCCGATGATGAGGAAGATTCGGAACCGATATTTGAATGTTTCTGGCAAGGACGACTTGCCCCTTTATCATATGTACACAGGTATAACTAGAATTATGATTATCATATTATTAAAGATATGCCCAATGTCTTAAATACATCACCAAAAGAGATGGAAGAAGGAGAAAAAAGGAGTGGATTGGACTAAATAGAATCGTCCAGTTATCCCATTCAATTATCATTTTTATAGCCTATTTTGTCGTCTTTTCGTTCTTTTGTCTTGAGTCTGCGTTCTGCACACATGCTTAGATTACTAATTTCTTCATTCCAACAATTTTTTTTCTGTTTTTCAGACTCGAATTTTGTTCTCCTCCTTCCCAAAGGACCAAAAAACAAAAAGATATTTTACCAGATATTTGTTACCGGCGGTTGAAAGGGATACTGTTCTTCAACAGACACACGCCTATTTCAAATAACAAACTTAAGATTTTACTAGACGAGCGCAAAGATCTATCAAGCGCCCTTGAAGATGCTACAGCAGAAAGAAGATTGCCGCAGGAATTTCGTTCATGGATTGAGAAATGTCACAAGGACCTTGATAAAGAGGTTGGTTTAGTTCGATATTTGGTTAGTAGTTATTTATTGATTTGTGATGGTGATGTTGTCGGTCGGTTATGATGGTGGCGATAAGATGATAATATTAATGTCGGATTTATGATTTATAAAATGCCCTTTCGATATGGATTAATCAAAGGTGCTTTACATTGAGTTGTGAATTTCAGATTGCTTTTATGCAATTTACAAGCATGAAAGATGGTTAGTATGAGGTGTAGGCACCGAGGGTGGTCACTGCCAGGGTTTCTTTACGTCCTCAGTACTTAACTCAGTTCTTTACTACTAATGAATGATGATGATAGTAACAGTAACACAGTGATGATGATGGTGATCGGGATCTTCCTCAACGCACGATTATAATGGTAATAATAATATTGGTGTTATATAAATTTGACTTTTTAACGTTTCTTTTCCAGGTCAGTTTCGAAGGCCTGTTACACAGCCAGCCCCGTGGGGGTACGGGTGATGTGCTCTACAAGTCGATCTGTGTGATCACTAGTGATGGAGAGCAGTGTTTTACTCAAGGAGACATAGTCAGACTAGACACCAAGCCGATCATCTTTGGTCGCGTCTTGTATTTCGTACAAGCAAGTAAGAAAAACGACTTTGATAAAGTGGTGGTTGTCCGACAACCAGATGAGGTAATTATTACTTCTAAATATTTTACTACTATTACCAGAATGCTTTGCGAATCACACCACAGGGTGACCATTTCATAGATAATAGAYTGTTTTGATGTTTTCCTGTATAGTCATTTCGTGTGTCTCTGCGTCATAGGTTTACCAGAATCAACAAGAGGACAAACCGCTGTCCAGAATAATCGACATCCCTGATGACAAAACACTCAGAAAATTCTTCAATGCAGAAAAACAGATGCTGCCTAAAACAGGTACGGACGGTGGTGATGGTGATGATGATAATGATGATAATGCTGGTGATGTCGTTGATAATGGTGATGGTAATTATAATGGTGATGATGATGAGAATGGTGGTGATGATGATGAGAGTGGTGGTGATAATAATGGTGGTGATGATGATGATGATGATGATGGTGATGTTGATAATAAGTTGGTGGCGATCATACGTTGAACTGGTTACCTAAAACGTCTTCCTTTCCTCGTACATTTTCTCAAACCCTTTCTTTTATAGTTCGAATATTCAATAATGTACAAAGTGAGGAACAAAGCAGCAAGATCACGTGGCTGGCTGGTGAGACTCGTAAAGACAACTCCTCAGGTTTCTGGATCAAAGTATTCAACGGTGAACGTCCACCCAAGTCGATAGTAACCGTGCACAACAAGAAGATAGGAGTGAAACAGATCGTAGAGGGACCAGAGAAAGTCGCGCCCATTCAGAATGACGTACCCATTGATGGCGAAAGGTWTGGCTTTAAACCATTCTGGCTTGGCAAGGCTGGTAACTATGAGCTGAAGTACGTGGCTGTTCTTGGTGATCGGGAGATTTGCTCAGCAGGAGTTAAAATTGAAGTTAAAGGTAAGAGTTTGGGCTTCATCACGTATCTGTTTTGGGCTACCTGTGGATTGACATTTAAAATATTGAGTTGCCTGTGGAATGGCATTCAAAGTGCATGTCATTGGCTCCCTGTAATTCATCCAATCGCCACGCGTAGTTACGGCTACAGTACATCATGCTTTATTCATATTGTTTTGCAGCCAACGTTGCCACATTTGTAAGACTAGACGAACCCTCAGACAGAGAAACCCCAACACTAACCTTGGGTGACCCATCACTAAAATTTAAGCTCCACTTCCAAGACCAGTGGGCCAACCCTACCACGCAATTTCGTAGCGGCGACAGCGTTCAACTAGAAGTAACGTCAACCTACCTCGAGATACGTGGTATTAAAGACAGCTATCAGGCAAACCGAAACGGCGATCTGGAGGTCAGCGATCTTACTCTTCATCCTAAAGGCAATGCCAGGAGTTATTTTAGTCGAGAACATTCTATCCGTGTGAATGCTGTTGATGTTGGTTACGTCATCTTCCCTATTCGACTTCAGGCAGGTAGGCTTAAATATGATGCCCTCATAGCCTCGCAATGGTGTTTTGTTTCTTCTTTTGGCTCTAAGAGACGGTACATTTAAAGTCATGTACCCAACAAACGTACATATACGGAGGCTGCCAGTACTCGAAATAAAAGCTCGTTATGTCGCAAAATTCCATTTAAAAATATTGGCATATAAATAATTATTTCTCAGTAAATTCAAATCCACCAACACTTCATTGTCAATAGACAATAGACAAAACAGTAAATTTGGTTCCTGTGATTATAGTCTATTCTAATTCTCCCCCTCCTCTTCCCCTCCCCCTCCCCCTCCTCTCTCCCTCCCCCTCCTCTCCTAGACATGTACGTAGATATTTTGTACGCAGATATGGTACGTGTTCCCAATCTAAAATACTTGATTCCAGATTGTCCTTTGAATTTGTCATTATTTTTTACCATACCATTTATCTGGTTGTAGGTCAACCACATTCGCTCAAGATCCCCACATTCGATACCAATGAGGTCCAAAACTATGATGAGTTTCCAGAATTCACTGTGCAGGTGATGGACAGTTGGGGCCAGCCGTGTGCTTCTACTGACAGGAAGAATAAGCTGCATGTTGAATGTGACGCATTTGCAGGGGGTCCCTATTTAAGTAGCGTCGAACAGGGCCAGGCTTCCTTTGGACCAATCAAAATCAAGGTTAGTAGTTTGCGGGAGATCGCAAAAATTTCTGCTGCCCGGGTCGATTGTGCCACCACAGGTAGCCCAACGAAAATCGTGTTCAAAAGGCCATTTAAAGAAGCCAGAATTTTCGCGTGAAAATAAAAGAAAAAATAATTAAAAATAATGTGGCCTTAATTTGAATATTTTCTATGTTTTTCCTCGGCGTTAATAAAAGCTTCTTCGTTTTATAATTTTTATTTTATGCTTCAGGTTGCTTCAGGTCAATCTCCTTGCACGAAAAAAGTCAAAATTACCCTGGTCACTGTCGATTTTGGCAGAAAAAAACAAGTCATCTCCGAAACTATCGAGGAACTCGGCCACTTTACCATCAAAGTGCTCCCCAGTGGACTCCCCCACCGTATTGAAATCTGTCATAGGTTAGCTGAAACAAACGGTGACGTCACGAATGGTAATACCAGGTCACGTGACTCTAGGAGGGACTGTCTAGAGTTGTCAGCGCCGGCGGGATCTTTGTTGAAAGGGCTTTATTTGAAAGCATATGATGAAAGTGGGCGGTGTTTGAGTGACAGTGATCTAAGGAAAGCCAATCCTGCCATTACGACCAGTTGGAATGGGGAGGTATGTTGTGTTACGTTATGTCACGCTCTAGAACAAGCTGTTTATCCAATCAGAATGCAGTATAGAATAAGACACCTTTACAGTCACCCCATGACATGACATTTCCGTGCAGTAACTTTATCAAGCATATGTATTTTATGGTTGGCTGCATTTTACTCCGACCTTAAGCCGCGGCCGCCACCTTATTCAGCTTTTTAATCGAAGGCAATTCTTTGAAATACTTGTATTATCTATAAGGCAAATATTTTTTCTTATTTCATTTTCCCAGGTCTCATGTAAGAATCTCCCGGTCTTACCAGATTGCGGCGTCGCTCAGCTCGTACGTAACACGTTCGTCGGTAATATCACGTGTACTTGTAAGGATGTCATGTGTCAGACACAAATCCGAATACGACCTGAAGAAGGTAACATTGATATGCATAGAATGACGTCATAATATATGCAGACTGACGTCATATGTAATCTACAGAATTGTTAAAAACGTCATACTGTTAGGTTATCAGCATAAAGATTACGTGCGAATGACATCTTATTACCTATAGTACAGTCACACTTGGTGTGGCGTGACTCTCACTAGGCTTAATCTGTGTTTGGATTATCTTTGTCACGTGATCAAGTAACGCAARTATTTACCTCCCATTTGTTCTCTCTTGTTTTATTTTTTCAGGCGAGCCTCAGAAGTGGTTTTTCAACTCTAACTCCAACACACTCGACATTGAGTGCGATGCTAAAAAACAGTTTGCCAATAAACTAACTATTCAAGTGCAGGATAATTTTGGTAACCCTGTGGAATGTCCCCCTGAGATCGTACCACTCATAACACTAGAACACTCATCAAAAGAGTAAGTTGACGCAATCGATTCAACCGTTTTCTCTCAGCATGCTAACTGGTGTTTTCATATTCTTTTAGAAAAAAAGATTCCATTCACTACAATGGAGACATGATATACAACGTCGCTAACAAAGAGTTTGTGTTCTCGAACGATGCTAACATATCAGGCAGCCCAGGAATCCTTACCATGACAGTCAGTGACAAGGACTGTAAACTATCTAAGGACACAAAGAGAATAAATCTTACCCCAGGTCGGTAGAAATAATTGATGCGTGCGCAAGTGTGCCTGTAGAAGTGCGCGTCTGTCTGAGTGCGCGTGTATTGCATGCGTGTATGGCTTGCTGTTTGCGCGCTTGTTTTTGGCGCCAGTAAATGCAATTTTAACCAAGGCTGTTTCTTATAACAATACAATAATCTGTTATACGTGTTGCTTCTTCTGTTACACTGAGTTTTTTAATCCGTTTTGGAGTTTCAATATCTCGTTGTACTGTTTTCCCTTAGGTCCACCCCACCACATTGAACTCTGGAGTCAATCCTTTGATTGCAGCGAACAAAGCCAAAATCACACTTTAAAAGCATTCCATGACTGTTGTCTTACGCATCCTATCCAAGCATGCATCTGTGATCGGTCGGGTAACAGAACACCACTCAAAACCAAGCTCAACTTAACCTGGAAGCCAGCATCTGCGGGCGCGAATATCAGCAAGAAGACTCGAGATAAGGGCGATACCAGCTTTACGGCTTATGATGTTAGATGTACCGCTAAACCAAATCAAACTGTTAAGATACGCGTAACGAGTTCAGAACACCGAACATTGCAGGTATGATATGTTGGGTTGCCTGTGGATAGCGTATATCAAACCTGGTGTTGGGTTTCCTGTGTTTTATTTTTCCGGTTTGACATTGGGTTCCCTCTATATTCCTTTTAAAGGGGTACTTTTTAGTATAAATAGAGATTTTGCACCATCACGTGCCCAGCCCATAATACTAGGCCTGCTTTTGGTTAAATAACAACAATAAAATCCCTTTGCTCTTGTGAATTTGACATAGCTTTAGTTTAGTATTGGGCTACCTGTGTATTTGTTTGTTTTCCAGGCGGCAGACGTGAGTGTAACAGTAGTACCCAGTAATCGAGTAACAGCGATACTTATCAATAGTGACTGTACGAGTATTACAACTAAGTCTAACTTCCCAACGTTAAAGGTAATTTTCATGTCACCTTGCATGGTGATTGATGATGATGATGGTGATGTTGATGGTGATGATAATGGTGGTGATGATGATGATGGTGATGATGATGATGGTGAAGATTAATACTAACAGTCAAGTGATGATGATGATGAATGATAATAGTGATGAAGATGATGATGATGAAGAATGATAATAGTGATGAAGATGATNATGATGATACTGATGATGATGATACTGATGATGATGATGATACTGATGATGATGATGCCTGATCACCACCATATTTTTATCACCTTATTTTTTCTCCCACTTAAAATACTTCCATTGCTGTTCATATATTGTTTATTCTCCGTTATTGACCAACAGGTAGAGTGTCAGACTGAAGATGGCGTACGAGTAGATGCTGTAGGTCACCTGACCCTCCATCTCAACGCTCCTGACGGGACGCTTATCCCCGGATCATCTGTCTATCGAAAACCCACCCAAAACAGAGAAGGCGTAGTGACCTACATCCCTCAGACTAGTAAACACCTGGAACATTCTGGATCCTGGTCTGTAAGCTGTCAGTTTACAGAATACAGAGATCGACTAAAGTCTATCTTGTTAGCCGAAAAACACGTGACCAGTAGTGAGGAGGCTTTCAAGTTTACTGTTTTACCAGGTAAAGCAACAATAACGCGTTACCCATACTTATAATGTAGATTGTGTGACAGTCACGCAATGTTCTCGGGTGATATGCACCGCTCAAGATCTGATACACTTGAAGGTAAAACCTAAGCTGCGTGACAATCRCTTCTTGGTATGTAACCTGTGTGTGATCGATATGCGTGTGTCACGCTATAAAGAGTATGATTATTGAGTGGTTTTTTTTTCATTTCATCTCATAGGCCCAGCTCAGACATTATCCGTCAAGTTTGCCTCGGAGAACGCGGGGTTACTTTCTGCTTCAAGTACAGCAGACGTTAAAGGTCGGACTATATTACCACGAGCAGGAAAAAGGTAAGTATGCTTTTCTGTCTGTCTGTCTGTCTGTGTACCTTCCTGCTTCCCTACCTGTCTGTCTGTCTGTCTGTCTGTTTGTCTGCCTACCTGTCTGTCCGTTTGGTTGTGTATCTGTCTGTCTTAAATGAATCGTGTTTTATCCAGCTGTGTTTTACATGCGCTACAATAGATTGTTATCTTTGTTTACAGTGAAACAGTAGAAATATTAGCGCTGGATCACTATGGCAACATGGCTAATGTCTCCACCATCGTTGACGTTACTATCTGTATTCTGCCTGGACATCACCCAGAGGATCAGGAGATTATTCTACCCGAGCTGGAAAACCATCCTGTCAAGATATCCTTAGACCAGGGTAAAGCCCGGGTACCCCGGTTAACCCTTAAGTCACGTGTTGGGAACTATATCGGGGAGTACCTGTTGGTATTCTCAACCAGTGGAATAGAGGACTGTCAGTTAAAGTTTTACTTTAGTACAGGTAAGTTGTACACAACAATTTTGAGGTTTTTTTTAACCTTCAAATCTTACATCCTGAAACGACCTCTGGGCTGATCTTATCAGGGCAAGGTTGAGCTCACTGATCGAACCCTAAAACAACAGGGCTGATCTAAGACAGGGCATGGCTAGCTCAC